AGGCCCCATGAGATCACCCCCGGTAAGAAAAATGTTGTAGAATTCAAACAGAAGTGCCATTACAAAGAACTAAATAAGTTAGTACCCCCAACCTATGCTGTACCTAAGGCCTTTTTGATAAGGAAAAAATGACTAAAGACTTAATAAAATCTTATCATGCTGTATTAGGCCTTGCCAATCATTTCCTTTTTAAAAATATTTTCTGAGGCAGGGTCTTACTATGTAGCCCTGACTGGCCTGGAGCTCACGATGTAGACAGATCGCTTCCCTCTGCCTGCTGTTGCATAGCTCTGACCATCCTGGAACTTTCTCCGTAGATCAGGCTGACCTGGAACTCAGAGATCCACCTGCCTCTGCATCCCCAGTGCTGGGATTAAAGGCGTGTGTCATCACAGCCCAGTTTAGTATATTCTTTTGTTCAAAGAAAGATTATGAGGCTGGAGAGATGGCTCGGTGGTTAAGACTACTTATTACTCTTGCAGAGGACCCAGGTTTGATTCCCAGTCCCCACGTGGTGGCTCACTGCCATCTGTGACTACAGTGCCAGGGCTTCCAACACCCTCATCCAGCCACCATAAGCATGTATATGTATGTACCATGTGTGTGCCTGTTTCCTGTAGCAGCCACTGGTTCCCCTGGAATTAGAGTTACAGATGGTTGTGAGCTACTATGTAGGTGCTGGGGCCCAAACCCATGTCCTCTGCAAGGGCAGCAGGCTCTCTTAACCACTGAGCTATCTCTTCAGCTCATAGTAACTTCTTAGTTTCTAACTTCTATGATCACTTTGCCCTTGCTCAGAACAGACACAACAGATTTTCAGGCGTCACCAAGGTTATCTAATAATCCTACTTTTCACTATGGGAAATTGTTGTTAATATATCCCATTATATATGAATAACATAATGCTAACCCTTAAGTGTTTTACTGGCTTAGAGATCCATTTGAGAGATTTGTGAGCACACTTAAAGGATTGGAACTGGAAAAATGGCTCAGTAATTAAGAATACTCACTGGCTGATCTTCCAGAGGACCTGGGTTCAATTCCTAGTACCCACACAACAGCTCACAACTTTCCACATGGTGGCTTACACCTTTCTATAACTTCAGTTCCAGGAGATGCAATACCCCCACACAGACATACATGTATGTAAAACGCCAATGCACATAAAATAAAAATAAATAAATCATAGAAAATGAAAAGATGGGGAATCAGCCCACAAAGGATACTAGTGCCAGGTGCAGCTGTGGTTGAAACCCCAGCACCCCATAAGCCAGCCTGAGACACTTGAGACTGTCTCAAAGACAACACAAAAGACTGAAGCCAGGAGTGGTGGCCCAAGTCTTTAATCCCAGCAATCGGAGTCTGAGGCAGGAGCGTTGTTGAGAGTTCAAGGCCAGCCTAGCTAAAGAGTAAAACTCTGTCTTGATAAACAAACAAAACATCAGGCTCTGATAACCCCAGCACTTGGGAGGCAGAGGCAGGAAGGATCAAGTTCCAGATCACCCTGGAGTATATACTGAGTTCAAAGTCAGTCTGTGCTCCATGAGACCCTGTGACATAACATGAAATAAATACAAAAAGTAAGAGAGGGCTTGAAGACAGCTTAGTGGATAAAGCATGAGGACCCACGTTCAAATCCCCAGAACCCACACAGAAAGCCAGATTGCTAGCACACATCTGTAATCACTGCTTCTAGCACTCGACTGGGAGATGAGAGATGGAGAAAGAAAACATCCTGGAACCCTGTGGGCTAACTACCCTGGTGTGTGTGTAGGTGAATGAGAAGAGACCCTCAGCCTTTCCTCACTGACAGGAGTCCCCCCCAAGTTGAGGGTGCCCTCCTTTTGCTGTGGCAACACCTTTCTTTTTATTTCTCTTTTTGAGACAGGCACTCAGGTTGGCTGGCTCCAACTCCTGTGTATGTGAGGATGACCTTGAACTCTGGCTCCTCCTGCCTGTCCTTCACAGCTGGGATTATGGGCATACACCACCACACTTAGGGCCACATTCCCAGCCTTAAGCTAATACTTTCCCCTCACTATTAAAAGAGGA